TGTTTGCAAACTTACTGAGGGAGCACTCGACCCCTTGTTGAGATCATTGATGAGGATATTAAACAGAACTGGTGCCATTGCTGTGAGCATTCCCACACCCTGACCACTGCCCTTCTGACTGGCCCATGGCCTGCTGCAGGTCTCTGAAGGACCAAAAAAAAAAAAAAAAAAAAAGGAAGGGAAATCATTTAAGCAGTCCTATTAGAAAAATAACAAAACTTTTCTCTGTAAGTGTGAAATCATACAATGCTATGGCTGAAGTTTGTCTGATTTACTCAGTCTAGATTGACAAAACCACTTGCCAGAGAAGCTGCTTAGTCTTGTAAAAGGCATTCTTTTAGTCACCTCCAGCTACATCATAAATTATACTGGCAAATCCACTGTTGCCATTGTAGTATATTGTGGAAATTATTAATTCTGATGTGCTATGATTGTTTTCTCCCCATGCCTTAACCTGCATCTCTGTTCAAACAGAGCTGTGGCCTGACCTGACGCAGTACTCTGGAGTATGCTGCTGTACATGGGACTGTGCAAGTCCCAGTCCTGTTGAGACTGAGAATCTTGTTCTTTCCTTGCCCAGAATAAAAATAAACCTACTGCAACTGAGGGCCTTGGGAGTAAGGTGTAAACATCACCTGTAGAGAAGACGTTATACTAGGACCCCTGAGGAAACAAGGAAAATGAGCGTTCTTGTGATTTAAATTTTTGCAAATGCCCACTCCTGTCCTTGCTTACAGATAAATTGCGGACCAAAACAAAACAGTCTAGGGCCTGGTAGATTCCACATGAGTTTATTTACCCAGGCAGCTTGGTTTTGTAGCATGCAAAAATAATATTTTTTGTGAAGGAATGAGAACTTACTTGTGCCTGTGGAAGAAGAGCATCTGTGCAATACTGAGGTGCCTTTTTGAGTCAGTTTCTTGATTAAAATGCTAAAAACCAAATTTTATTTCCAGACGGCATGAGTTTGACAAGTAAATATGCAGCCAACAAGAAAAATATCAGATACATTCAGTTCTGCTGGAATGAAAAATAAATCAAAAGTTATGCAAGAAAGTTTACGATTGGTCTTTCTGTAATAAGTTTTTTACCAGTGATATTTTGTCATGCAGTTAACTACCGTGATTTAACTCTTTACTGAAGATAAATCAAAAACTGAGGCCATAGAGCCTCTTGACTTTTCAGCACTTGGTGTTATAACTTTTGAATTATTGAAATGTATTTTTACTTTATGTGCAGGATTTTCTTTCTGGCTAGGTGAACAGAAACTGTTGATGATGTGTTTCTTAGGTCACAGGTTCTTACTTTTTCTTGAGTTAGAAAGCAACAGGGCTAAGGAGTTGTCCCTCTAGCACACTCCTTTTTTTTTTGTTTTATGCAAAGTAATTTCTGCTTGTTTTCCTCAGTGAGAAATTGATACTGATAGCTTAACTGATCAGTAATTTCTGCTAAATAAATTAATTGAAGGTAGTTAAAAGACTAAGCTGTTTTTTCCCTCAGATTGGACTGAATACTGTAATAGCAATCATAGTGGTTTGATGCACAGCTAAACAAAGCCAGTGGACACTCCTTTCTTCACTAGGTCATTGCACCGCAATCCTTAAAAGCAGTGCCTTGGGGTTTTCTTGACTGAGAGGTTGTGTTCTTTGTGTTTGGTGTTTTCAGCGGCTGATGTCAGAGATGGATTTATTTTATTTTATTGTTTTGTTTTAAAGAAAATGCCAGAAACTATACTAGGAATTTCTTGTCAAGAGGAGAAACATTATGAAATGCAGTGCTTATAGCTAGTTGTGTGGTCCGCAGCTACTGATTTTGTAGATACCTTCACAACATTTGTAAATGTCTGGTCTGGTCTTCCATGGCATACCAGTACATTCTTCACTGGAGTAAACCGTGAGAAGGACTTAGGGTAAATGTGATATTATCCCTGCCAGTACTACTACAAAAATTAGTTCACCAGTTGCCCTACTGAACAAAAATTACTTTGTGATAGCTTGTAGAGTAGAAAATGCAGAAGATGCTTCTTGGGCTGTGTCCGAACCCATTTAAAGGTTGGAGTTTTAACTTTTGCTCGGTGGAAAAAGAATTGGTGCAGATCTGTGTTTGAGACCCATCTGCATTGTGGACTGATTTTAATGAATACCCTTAAAATCTCAGAGAGTTTTGGTGGGAGGTAGTTACAAAACAATCCCAAGAGCACTGATTTTTTTCCGCTTCTTACCATTAAAGTGAGAGACTTTTGTTTGGGGGAGAGTCAATTGTTCGTTTTGACTTCTTTCTAGTCTTTTATTCAGTCACGGTTATTTATGTACTTTGTTGAGTTTCTCTATTACATGCGCTACTCACTTTCTTTCCTCTTGTCTTTTGTAGGAGCTGGATGGCTTGATAGAGATAAACAAAATGACTCACAAGCTTCTGAGTAGATATATGACCTTGGACAGCTTTGACGCCATGTTCAGAGAAGCCAATCACAATGTGTCAGCCCCTTATGGAAGAATCACTCTTCATGTCTTTTGGGAACTCAATTATGATTTCCTTCCAAACTACTGCTACAACGGGTCCACTAACAGGTTAGCATGGCAGCCTTTTGTTTGCAGCAGTTCTTCTGTCACCCCCCTGCAACTTCTTTCCTAGCAAATGCTGACAAGTCCATCTCCATTCAATTAGTGTGTTTTCCACTTCTAGTGCTTTACTGGAAGTGAAGCAGCATGAGTCATTTTACTAACTACTGTCAAATATACGAAAGCCTGTTATTTGTCCACAATAGAAGTAAAATGTAACTGCAGCATCCAAATTCTGACATTTTGACGACTTAGCTATAGTATGCTGAAAAATAAAGTGTGTCCAAAAATACTGCAAAGTGTGTAGCAGGAAGCTATTTTGGTAGACAGGATCCTCAACTGTGAGACGATGGAAATAAAATTAAATTCCTGATTCTGCATTACCGTGAAGAAAATGATTATTTACTGGAGAAGGGAAGAGTTCGGTATTCACCACAACTACAGTTGCAGCCTGTAAGGAGAATGAGTAATGGAAATAGAAAGGGGAAGGTAGGATCTCAAGTTTTATCTAAAGACTGGGAGGTGTAATGCTTGGGACTTTGCATTTCTGGGCTTCCTGCTTGTGTGCTGTTTTCAGGATTCACGTTGCTTTTAGTTTACTCAGGGTTTGGTTAAAGCACTGTGAAGTGACAGTAAAGTGATATTGAATATTGAGCTGTAGGAAGAGGAGGAAGCCTGTTCTCATCTTTCACTGTCTCCTTGGAGAGCTTTTCCTCTCTGACATGTCCCGTGGTGGTTATGCTGCATTTTAGATCCAAAACTGTGTCTGGGAAAAAAAAGGAATGTTTTTTTGTGGTTAAGTTTTAGCCAAGAAACTTCTGTTACATTAATCATGGAGAGCAGGGGCAGGAGATATGATTCTATGTTTCTATGAATCTTTTTGCACAGGAGAGCTGAATGTATTTCCAAGGAAGCTACTGTGCCATTGGTGTATTAAGAATCACATAAGCATAATATTAAAAGAAAATCTTGATGAAATACTGATCCTTCACCTGTCAGCTTTAATGAAGGACATTCAATAGCTCCTATAATAATTCAGCCTGATGTTCATCCTGGCCATAAGGACTGCTGTAGTGCAGACCACAGTGCTTGGGAAGGGAGCGTGGAATGCCAAAGGACACTAACAGGATCCTGTAGGGCTGTTGCTTGTCTGTTTAAAAACTGTCTGCACGAATTGAGTTAGGCTGATCCTCAAGCTCTTTGGGTAATTAATTCAGGATAATTAATTTAAAAGACGACAAAGTTATGTGTAGCATGTGCCCAGTTTCATCACAGAATTGCTTTGGTTTCAGTCAAAAACAGCAGTGTGGAGAGAGTGGATGTGTGAGTTGCACATGCTATACCGTGCCCATCGATATTTTTGCTGGGAGAAGGAACGGGGAGTTTCTAGCCCTTTCATAGTTCTTAAGCACGTTCGTTACAGCTATTGCTGCCTTGCTGTTAGTGTGAACTTTAAACTGAGCTTTCTCTGCATTGAACTGTGCAGGTTATTGTGTGCAAATACAGGAGCACACAGTGAGGAGCTCTGAGAGAGCTGCTAGTTTATTTCTTGACTCTTGATAGGTAGTGTCTTGCATGAAAACTACATGTAAACAAGGGGAGAAAAGTAACGATGAAAGGTTGGAAGAAAGAGAAATAAGCGTGGTGAAAAGCAGAGAGGTTACTTGCTGGTGAGGGGTTGGAGGCAGAGCTCCCAGGAATTGTGTAATACCTGTGGCTTGGCTTTTAGTAATTTGACCACAGCCTAGCAGTAAGGATCCTTCTTTTACAGTTAGTGTTTTGGTCAGATTAGCTCGTGTCCGGTACCTTTTGAAGCTCTTTTCCCAAGAATGCTTGAACGTGACAATTTCGGACATCTGTAAAAGAGTTTGAGTGTTTAGAAACCCTGCAGGTTTGGTTCAAAGGCTAAGGCTATTCACGCAGAAGTACTGACACACATTGCATGTTTAATTATTTGGGATTTAGGATTATTTTTTTTTAATATCTGATAATTCACTGAGATTAAACAGTGAGGCTGCTATTAAAAGATTTAGCAATTTAATAATTGCAGCGGCCAGTTTTCTGAAATTTAGTCTCGTTAGTGCTGGCCAGCTGCACAGGTGTCTCCAGACTTGGGTGCCACAGTTTGTAGAGAAGGAATTGGGGAGATGAACGAGGGGAGCTCTGCAAATGGGCATTAGCACTGAAATCCAAGGATGTTTTTCATCCACCTGTTGTTGATCGCAAAAGAAAGAGAACAAACTTTTGGATAATGGCATGAGCATAGGAACTGCAGAAGAGGTCAAAGCCCTCTCTAGTCCGGTGTTCTGATGCTGGCAGCAGCCGTGCAGAGGCCAAGTACGAAAACAAGGGAGGCTTGCGGTGACTTTTCTCCCAGGAACCGTGCCAGCCTCTAGCAACGATCAGGTGTTTGTGTAAAACAAAAATGGTGGGATGTTAGTGGATTTCTGACCTTTTACAGGTATTTTTTTTTCCCTATTGCTTTGTCTAGTCCTTCTTTTAAAGCTATGTGAGTTTTTGGCATTCATGACATGCTGTATTGAGGAGGGAGTCTGCAGTGAAGCTGGGTGCTGCAGGAAAAAGTATCTGGTTTAGTTTACTCTCAAACTGTTGCCTGCCAGTTCATACACTGAAAGCGACCGCCAACAGCCATTTGCCACTTGTTGCCTTTTCTGTGCTGCTTGGGATTTTTTTTTAAGAGCGCTCTCTCATGTTGGCCCGCAGCTGCACGTTTTTCCAAGCCGAAGGTCTTTCCACACCAAGAGTCTCTGTCATGCTTACGCCTGTGTCTGTGCTTTTTTCGTTCGCCTGTATCTTTGTGGAGTTAGGAGGACTAAGGCTGTCCAGAAGATTCAGATGACACAAGGACAACTTTGAGATTTTTGTTCTTTGTTCCTTTTCCACTGTCTGTAGGGTTCCTTTTTCTGCCTTATTGTCTTCCCTAATTCTGAACCGGTCTTTTCTTCCATGATAGCTTGCTTTGTTGAGGGCTAACAGAGGACCAAGTGTGAGACAGCCCAGACTTTTATTTGGACTGAAGGTTTTCTGTGCTTTCTTGACACAGCTTCTGGAGACGGTAGTCAGACTTGTAGCTCCATCTCCTCCCAACACATTGTCTAAATCTGTATTCACTGCTGAAAGTTCACGTGTGTAGCACTCTTCTACATGCAGTACGACGTGTTTCTTCTGAGGATACAGATTTGTCACAGAATGAACAAAAAGACCAGCTTTTCATTTTTCAGTCTTCCTCCCTGCCTGCCTCTCACCTTTCCTTTTGCAAGCTCTCTGGCTCTGTCCTACTGCTTTTGAGGCTAGATTTCACACGAGAACAGCTGTGTCTTCTTGTCTCGTGTACACTCTGATAGTCTGTGTTCAGAAAAATCTTCTGCCCTTTCAAACACTGTTGGAGCAAACCTGAAAAGCGGCACTGGCAGTGAAAGCTGCCTAGTTACTGCCGCAAAGAGCCAAGGGGTGCAGAGGTATAGGTTTATGCAAAGTCAGGGTGGCTGTAGACGACCTTCCCCCACCTTAAAAAAACAAAAACAAAACAAGAACAAGTCTTTCTGCCAAAAGGAAAGGTGATAGCAATGGAGTGGTGGAGATCTGTTACTCTCTTATGATCTGTTTTCTCTGCTGTTTCCTCACGCTTCAGTTTGTAACCTCCTGTTCTCTCTATCTTGGCATTCATGTTCAAGAAGGGTGAGTTAGATCTAGCATGCACAAAGAGAGGAGGTGTAGATCTGGTAGACAGGACAAACTAATTTGAAAAGGCTGGAAGGTAAAAGTGTTCATACCAGTTAGACAGGGAAGTGCAGAGGGACACTTTCTGTATGAGTAGGGAGGGAGGATTGTGGTAGCTTACTGCTTCTGAGATGGAGCTCAAGAAGGTTATGAATGAGATTGTCTGTCTGATCTGGTGCCTGCAGTAGACAGGCAGCAGGCTCATTGACTGAAGTGTTCTCTTTCAGATTTGTCCTTGTTTTCTTAACTAGATTGTGGTAATTAGAATCCTAGAATCATTTAGCATCGTTTGTAAAGCGCTCACTATGAACTCCTTCCTGGTAGGTATCACAGAAACACTGATATAAAATGATTTGATCCCTAAAATAATTACTTTTGGGCTTACATTGTGCTTTAGCAATCACTGTTGCAAAGCTTTGGTAAGCCAGCAGGCTTTTCATCTGCTTAATCTACTTTGACTGCTTACAACCTGCGTTGATTAAAATGGATAAATTGCTGTGAGATTATCAACACTGATTAAAAATGAAAAGATCTGATTCTCGAGTATGCCAAAACCTGCATCCAGCAGTATCTGAGGGAAAGTAAAAACTTGCCTAGCTTTAGAGTTGATATTCAACGAGCTTCAGTCCTTCAAAGAGATATTTCTGTTTCTTGGAGGAGGAGCAGGAGGGAGCCAACCAGCAGGATGTCAAGAAGAAAACACACACACATTGAAAAATTTGAAGAATAGCAGATGATGCTGAGCTGTGAAGGTTTCTATATAGCCCTTAGTTTTGATGGAAGAAATCTCTAATATTTATCTGAATGATATACTGGGCTTCGTCACATACCTCCTAGAATGATGCGCTCTCTTCAGCCTGTTGTATCCTCAGTCTTGGCCATTCCCCATCTGTAAGATGTCAGGTGACTTTATCTCTTGCGCCTACTTTTTTTTTCTTAACCTCTTTCTTGCTCTCTTGGCATCTTTCACCCAAGAATGTATAAAATGGGTGCTTACTTCAAGTCTTTAAGAAAGCTTTAAGACCATTTTGCTACTACTCTAAAGTATTGGCGATGGAGAAACCCCCAAGAATATAGAGGAGCACTGGGGAACACACAGGAGTTACTTGTGCTTGTACAGAGCTGGTGGAACTTAGGGACTGTGTCTCAGAAGTATTTCTTCAGCATTTGATTTCTGAGGCTGCGATTTCGCCTCAATCCAGATACAGTCTGACTGGTTTGTTCCCAGACACTAATGACATTGTAATTAAAATACATTCATAATACCTTTTTGAAAAGACTAAGAATTGTAGTTACAGCTTCCAAAGTCATGGGATACACCCACATTTATATTCTGAAACACTCTTTTCCTTGTGAGGGTTTTAATTTAGTGGTAACAAACCAGCATTGCCCTGCATGCTGAAACCCAGTCTTATCTCAAATGACATGGTATCTTTAATTTCTTTCACTTTAGAGATTTTCTTAGGGCTTGAAAATTGATGTCAGTTTAAAAAGGAAGAAAGGGGGCCTAGAGTAATCTCTGGGACTGTCATATGTTGCAGATTACTTTGAATTCCATCAAATGTTTACAACATCTCTGGTAAACTCATTAACGAGGTATCTGTGCAGAGAAGAGATTGAAGTAATCTCAAGAGGAAATTTTCAGATGCTGTGTAAGTGAGAGTGAAGGGGGGAAACTTGTGAACTGAGGAAATTAAATGTAAGGACATTTAAATTATATATGTATATAGTGTAAAAAAGAATACACATAAATGATCTTTTCTTCAAGAGTTCTAAAAGCAAGCACTTTCTGGACTTCAGCAAGTACAAATACTTCTGGAAAGACAGGGCTAAAATTCATATGAACGAGTGAAACTGTGGCTGTATGCCTATTTTTGAGCAGGTTAAAGGAATACAGAAAACCTTGTCCTGAAGTTACAGATTCTCACGAGAATGATTCAGATTACTTACAATTATTTCCACTGTGTTTTATTTCTAAGCCGCGTGGTGCAATTTATACATGTTTGGGTGAAACAATTTTTGATTAGCATGGTTGATTTTGTTTTCAGCTAGAAAATGGATGTATTAAAAATAGGATTTTGACGTTCTTTCTAGGAAAAATTATTAATGAATCATTTAGTTTGTGTGATGGTTAAAGTCAAACATATTTTAAACAAAACCAGATCAAGATATAATTGTATCTTATGATATTATAATGTACTGCAAACTTCCTTTCCTGAAGCCTGTTCCTAGATGCATTTATTTTACTCAGCCATCACTCAGAACAGCCTGATCTGTTAAAAGCATTTGATGTACGGTTCTTAAATAGCTGTTTTTCCTCTTCACTGTGTATACACAGTTTTGCATCTCATTTACCAAGAAATCCTTTTCATCAAATTAAAAAATAAAGCCATCCAACCCGTAAACACACAGACACGAGTAATTTTGCTCGGTTTAGTAGAGTTAAGCAGAAGTAGAATTGTAGTAGATGTCGATTAACTTCTTTCTGCACTAAAACTATAGTGCTGCAAAATGCGCCTTACACAGTTAACGGGCAACGCCAGGCGAGCAGGTCTGTGCTGCGCGTTCAGGAGAGGACTGGTGCCTGCAGAGTTCCGCCCAAGCACGGTTCTTCAGACGCCGGGGCCCTCCGTTTGGAGGGGGCTGTTTGATTCTGTCTTTTGCAGTCCTCCATATCTTTGTAGTTCTCTTGTCATCCTCTTAACAATAGACAAAGGCAAAGCTAAACACTGTTTGTATTGGTACGTGCTCATGCTAAAGTATGATCAAACTTTGAAACATTAATTTTCCTACAAGGTTTCTACCCTTCCTCCTGACTTTTTTTTAAAGGCGTTAACCTGAAGTGTTTCTCCTGCTATGAGTTTCTGGGGGGGGGGTAGGGCTCCAAAACATAAATGTTCATTCTTAAGGACTTCCTTTTGGAAGCACAAAGAACTTCCTTACCCTCCGTGAGGGGCTGCTGCTGCTTTGTTAGTTGTATCTCTTTGCTGGGCTGGGCTAGAGTAGAGGTGAGAAATATTTTGGGACCCTGCACACCACTGGAAGAACAGGGTCTCAGTATGTGATAGAGAATTGCATCATGATTTGTGTCCAGGCTTTTGGGCAATGCAGGCTATGTGCTTCCCTGGTTTCAACTTGGGCTGAAAGGCTACTGGTCTGGCTTTAATTTTATATGTAGACAAAGGCAGTGTTATACTGGGTAAGGTGCATCAGGCACACACCTACTAACCTAAGTATAATTAACAAATTCTTTATTTTGTTTTTATAGATTTGTTCGGACCGTGCTACCGTTTTCTCAGGAGTTTCAGAGAGATAAGCAGCCTAATGCACAGCCGCAGTATCTCTATGGATCGAAGGTTGGATTTAATTCCCTTTATATTTGTGGTTTGCTAATGTTTAAAGGTATCTTTTTTAATTACAGAAATTATGGAATATGAAAGTTATTAAAAATGGACTCAAATACATTTTGTGAGTATTTTAAACTCAACATAAGCTTTTTTTTTTTTCAGACTTTGCTGTAAAGCTCACCATATGTTTCAGCCAAAGTGCAAGTGATTAGTCTGATGGTTAGTTTTATCTGACATAGCTAAAAATAAGTCCTTCTCTCAACCACCTTGCATTGCACAGTTGCTTATAGTGACAGAGCAGGCTCAAAGAAAAGATTAATTAGTCATCTGGTGAAGTGAGAACAAGAGCCCATCTTGGGTGCAGCTGCTCCCTTGTTACAGTGATGAAGACTGTGATGGCAGGAGAAAAAGAAACAGACAGGAAAAACTGCTTCCTTCAGGTGTTGTCTGACTTAAAAGGTTCTGACCATCCTAAACTGTCAGATACCAAACAGCTCAAATGATTTAAAAAAAAACCCACCCCAAACAGTAGCATTTCTTTGGCACCTTCAATCCAAGGACCTCAAAGTCGTTGTGATGAAGTTGGCCTTCTGGCCATCTCATCTCCTGTATTAGCATCGTCTTTCTTGCTTTGCAGCTTAGGAGCACCTAGAAGGTTTATGCAAGTTTTCAGGTGTACATGATATGCAGTCACGTACTCTGTGCCTTAAGGCAGTGCCCAATACTGAGGTTGGAAAGGAGCTTACGTGGGTGACCTGTTGAGAGAGTACTCGGCGCAAGAGAATAGTCGTGGGCTTTCATGGAGCTCCTCAAGCGAGGAAGGTTGAACTGTATTCGCAGAAGCAATGCTGTGCTCATCTGTGCAGTACTGTATGTTGGAGGGATAGATTTATTCCCCCGATCACTGCAGATTTGTTTCCTTGCCCTTCAGAATTATTACGTGCATCTTAACGAGTTAAAGGCATAGCACATTAACATATATCTGCAGTTTTAATATCCAGTCAGAAATACTGATCTGCTTCCAACAGCAGTAAAAACCAGTAGTGGTATCTTCAGCAAATCATTTGAGAATATTTAATTTTGTTGTTTTCTTGAGTATCAGGGAGGCAAAATGACAGTATGGAAAAGATCAATAAAAAATATAAGGATCAAATTAGAGGATTGTTGACTAAACAAAAAGTTTTAAAATTATGTACTCAATTATCCTTTAATTTATACAAATGCGCTGTGTCTTTTTCATGTCTACCTACTTTCATTATCTAGCTCATGCTTAAAGATGAGCATAATTAGTCATCCTACTGTTATTATTTTCTGCACGTGATATCCTAGTTATACGGTGCAGTCTCCGTGAAGTGATTTGCCCAGCAAGCTAGTTTTTGAGAGCTGAAGAGATAGCCCAGAAGTTACAAATTTTAGTCCTAACACATTCCCTGCAATTGTAAAACATGCATGCTTTTAAAATATAAAGGAGGTGGAAAGGATTTATATGTCTTTAATGTGGAATGTAACAGCTGAGTGATTGTCTGATACTGTGAATAAATTTTTATGTAATTGTTCTCCAACAGGGAACAGTAAATTATAGGAAAGTGCGGTTTTCTTACATTAGAGTTATTGTGTGCCTTACTATTTTAGGAATTCACCAGATGCAGTGTGAAGAGCAAAAAACCTCACTGAATTTAGTAGAGATTGCTAACTTAATTTATCTAAGTGATGATACCGTGGGGTGAGTGACAGAGGATTAACTGGCGAACCCTTTTTTTATCAGTCAGGTTACGTTATTAAATTGAGTTTAGTAATCTTTACTCTGAGAGCTATACGTTTTCAGAAATCTGATTATTTTTCTATATGAGCAGGAGCAGTTGAGGGGGTTCCTAGATGCGTTTCTGGAGCAAGATATGTCTATATTAGCAAATATTCCTGGCTGTCTGTAGTTTTAAATTTTTACAAGAGTATATTTTTATTCTTGAATCTAAGGTATTTTGGAATTGGGGATATCTCAATGGAATTTTAGGAGAATTTTGGGACGTTTCTACTGTATATCGCAAGTAACAGATAGTGATTCTTACACGATAGAGGCTGCACGTTCTAGCATGTGATACAGTTGCATGATATTCTTCAGCGTACTATATAGCCAGGCTTGCCACAGAGCACATCCTTGTGTGGGTCCTTTAACGGCTGTATTGTTGAATTGCCTCCTGACTGGATAATAGTGGTCTATGGGGTAGCTACGTATTTTTCATTTTATTGTCTTTTCTGAGTTCCTGAGCTACCCGAGATATTCAGGTCAGCACTTCATACTGATCATATAGCCAAGGAATATGACTTTCATTTTCCTTATTGGACTTCATTCGTTGGTTTGGAGGTTTTTGGCATGTTTTTGTGTTTGTGTTTTTTGGGTTCTTTTTAGCCATCTATAGCGTTTATTTAGGTCAGTGACAAGAGCGTTGTGGTTTCTTGTGCGTATGTACGCTCATACATGCATCTGTTGGACTGTAATGGCTAAACACTTTCTGTGCAGAAGCTTTGCACGAGCAATGTTCTTGCTTAAGAGTGATTAAAGAAATTTTTAGTTTTGATCTCAAAATGTTCACATTTCTCAGATGATTCTAAGTGGATCAAAGCATTTGGTCTATATTAATGTGTATTGATGCTTAGCATAGACAATTGTGTCCGCATTCTCTGTTGCATCTAAAGTTTTCTGAGCAGTATCTTCATCCAGTCAGCAAAACAGAAACCCACCGATAGAACTCCTCCTGGCTGACACGGGAGCAGAGCTGTCAAGTGGGAAGGAGCTGAACTGCAAAAGCTCATCAGCCTTTTAAGTGAGCTGGAGGGTTTTAAAAGCTCATTGAGCATGGTCATTGAAATCCCTTTCATCAGGGAAGTGTGTGTAGGATTAATGAAACGAATGTTAGCAGATTGAAATTCGGCAACAAGGGCTGGATGCATAAAATGATTAATAATGTACATAGAAGAAAGAGCCTCTTTTGAGGATTTGAAACTAACTTTGCATATTAATGAAGTGCCTGCTTTTGTAGAGGTTGTGTAGACCAGAAAGTAAGAGCTTCCTTTCTGGCTTATGCAACATTTGCCAAAGATTTTCGTGTTTGTATAGGTTCTGCATTTTGTAGATGCCAACTCATTTGTTTTGTGAAAAAAAGACACGTTTGGAAAATATTTCTCAATGTGAATATAATGTTTTTTGTCTACTGCTGGTGCACAAATTGACATCAGTTTGCACTATGGTACATCTTGTTATCAGTTTAGAATCACTTAGAATGTTTGCCCCTTACTAGGTCACTGTTAAAACTGGACAGTGAACTACCAAACCACAGAATTGCCAGAATAAACCTGAATGAATCTGTAATAAAACTTTATGAGCAAGAGACAAAGAATCGTGTAGCTCTATGAGTGGGTGGTGACGTGAGTTCTTCAAAACTAGCGCAGAAGCGAGATGATACCCCTTATGCATTGCTCGTTTGCAGCAGGTGCGAGACGGTCCGTTGCTCGTGAGGTGATACAAATGTTTATCTCAGTAGTGCACAGTAAACTCCTTGGGTGGAATGGTTTTATATTTAGATGAGGTAAGTCCCATTCCTGGGAGCATTCCCTGGAGGCTCCTTGCCTCCTCAGTCTGACACATACATGCGTCTTTTTGTATGTATGTGTTTGTGTAGAAGTAATAAAATTCAGTAGGTGAATTGCCTCAAAACCGCTTTAAGACTGAACTGCTCCTTGTTCTCAGTATGGTATATACACGTGTGTGTAACATGTAAGTGCATGTAAATATACTGTATTGGACTGCCTTAAAATCCACGTAAAGAAACAGAGATGCAGAGAAGGAAACAGGTTTTCAAGGGCCTAAGATGCTGGCAGAGATGAGAATATATGTCTCTTGGCTCCATCCCTTTAACATTAAAATAATCTTTTCTCTCTTTGATGAAATTCTAGTCAGAGAAGTGTTACCATTAATTTGATTACAAGATCATTTAAAAGCATTTTTTTCTATCCCTGCTACCCAGCCACTGCTTTTTGGCAGTAGACATGTAGCGTTGGCTTCATGCTCTGAGGAGAGTGTTTCAGTGTCTGTTTCATGAAACACCTTCATTTGAAACAGGAGTAAACTGTTGTCATCTTCACAATTTATTTAAGACTGACGTGTAAGACAAAGAAAAACACGTCAGCTGGAGGAAATGCTATGTGGGAGGTGGAGAACACGTTATCGCCAACTTAATAAAGATGCCTTTTGAAGTGTTTTCTAAAAGTAATAATCGCCCCCGTTCAGGGCGCGTTTCTGTGTGTCGTACCTACCGTAGTAGAAAAAAAAGTAAAGATGATGAATCAAACTTCTGCCAGCTCGTGTCTTCCTAGCAATAGGAGAGTTGACGTCTTTCACGAGTTGTGGGAAATGTCAAAATAGGGTAGCTGAAAAGACCCGCTGCCTGCTGTAAAATATTCGGCGGGCACTCTCTTGCCAAAATGGTACACCGCCTCGGCTTCCGGGGTGTGGTGGGAAGGGATGGCAGCTGCCCAGCCGGCAGTTCTCCAGCCTTTACTGGTACAACCGAGCTGTGCCAACAAGACCTGACTTTACGCATAAGTTCGTATCAATAGGAGTTTAAATTGCCTGCAGTCACAGCGTATCTTTGTTTTTCAGACATACCATAGTGTACAGCAATACTAAGGTTTATTGTCTTTTTATGGAACACAAATGCACTTGAAAGATTTAAAACAGGGTGACTTAAACATGTAAGCCAGACAAGACTTGTCATGTTGTGAGAGTGAACAGATTTCTGTCTGAAGGGCCTTTCTTGGCACTTTGCCGTGAAGCTCAAGGCAGAGTGAGAGGATCGGCAGATTTGCTTGTTACAAAAATAGAATGTGTTTTGGCATATTTACTTCCTTGCCCCTTCGTTAACACAAAACGTACTGTGCAGTTGGAGAGGAGTTTGCAGCTGGTGAATGAGTTTTTATCATTAACACTGAGAGGG